TGTTGGGAGCGGGAGGCACAAGGTTTCTGCACCTTTAGGCCCCTTCTCAGCGCTTCTAGGCCCGAAAGCCCTTCAAACTCCCACGTACCTCAGAGACCCCATTTTACTGTTTATAAAACTGAGGCCCAGAGCGCCGTGGCGCCCCTACCTCTACTGCCTATTCAGTATTCTTGAGGGCACCGAGGAAGCGGGTATTTGAAGGATGCAAGAGTTTTTCCCATGGGAGAAGGCAAGCAAGGGCTCCGGAGGCAGAGAGAACTGCAAGCGGAGATGCATTTAGGTGAGAAAGTTGGAGAATTGAGGCTGGGGATTAGTTTGCTCTTAAGAGGGGGACACTGCCACTGGAGCTGAGGTTGAAAAAGTAGGTTAGGATTAGGTTGTGAACTGACTAGCTTGGAGGCTTAGGAGATGATTAGCCCTCACTTCTGCACGGTTTATAGTTCCCCATTCACCATCTCATCAGGTCTCATGGCCTGTGAGGCCTTACTGATGTCTTCTTATTTACACATGGGGAGACCAAGGTGCAGAAGGGATAAAAACTGATTCCTTTTTTACCTCATCCCTGCTGGCAGGGTCCTAGCCTAAGCTGTCTGGGAATTAAATCAATGCCTCTCTAGCATTTACAGCCTGTTCAGGCAGCAGCCCTTCATCTCCCTCCTAAACCAGTAGTGAAGCAAAGACAAGCCTCCCTCACCAGAGCAGTGAACGCACTGTGGGATACTGGGTGGTATTTGGACGTTGTGAACTTGGAAAGGCAGAGAAATTCAGTTAATAAATAGTTGTTGACAGATAGTCTCACAAACCCCCAGTATAGGGGAGGCAATAGACCTGGGTTTGAATTCTGTCTCAAAGGTTGATTCATTCACTTTGTTTTGGGGCATCAGCCACAGTTCTAGGTGTACAGGATACAAAAAATAATAATAATAATTGATAAATAAAGGTTCCTGGCTCTTCGCCAGCCTAGACTCTGGTGCTGGAGACAGAGGATTACTAATCCAGCCATAAAATGTGCAAGTGCAACATAAAATGTATAAGCAACAATCAGCACAGAAAGCAGAAGTTTTTTGTTTTCTGGATTTTTAAAAAGATTTTATTTATTTATTTGAGAGAGAGAGACAGAGCACAAGCAAGAGGCAGAGAGAGACAAAGCAGGCTCCCCACTGAGGAGAGAGCCCAATGCAGGGCTCAGTCCCAGGAACCTGGGATCATGACCTGAGCCGAAGGCAGGTGCTCAACAAACTGAGCCACCCAGGCAACCCAGAAAGCAGAAGTTTGAGAGCCAGACCACTTGGCTTTGAATATTAGCTGTAGCCACGAGTTCATATCTGTTTCCCTCAGTATCCTTGTCTGTAAAATGGGGAAATAATACTGTTTAACTTAGTCTGTTCAGGCTAAGCATAACAACAACAACAACAACAACAACAACAACAACAACAACAAAACCCACACAGACTGAAGGGGCTTAAACAACAGAAATTTATTTCTTACAGTTCTGGAGGCTGGGAAGTCCAAGATCAAGATGCTGGCCAATTCACTTCCTGGTGAGGACCCTTTTCCTGGCCTGTAGGTGTCCTCCCTCTGGTTATAGCCTCACAGGGCCTTCTCCATGCATGTGCTCATTCATAAATGTCATAAGACATTTCTAAGCAGTCGTGAGGCTTAGCCTGAGTAGTACCCACAAAATGCATAGAATGATACCTGGCCAGTGGTAAGCTTGCAAGGAATGTTATCCAGATGACACCATATGGGAAACTGAAGAGGAGGGAATAGTGATTAGCAAGAATACAAAACGGCATTAAGGAAGGTGGTAGTCAGGGAAAGCCTTCTTTGAGGAGGTGACAGGGGACTGAGGCCCAAATGAAATCAAAGCGTTAGCTACACAGTGATCCTTGGGGAACAGTGGTTCTGGCAGAGGGAGCTACTAGTACAAAGACCTTGAGGTGGAAAGGAATTTAGCTCTCTTTGGAAAAGAAAGGGAGGAGTGGGCAGGTGGAGCCTCCTGAGACCACAAAGAGGAGTGGGAGGTGAAGTAGCCTTCACATGGAAAAGATGCAGGTCTTTGTCCTGGGAGCAGTGGAAAGTCTCCTGATTCGGCTCATAAACCTGAAGTAAATACAGACTGGTAGAGAAAGAAGCAGCCCAGGGGCCTGAAAACTTGGATTGGAGTCTGGGCCTCTTGACAAGCTAGGTGTCCTTGTACAAGTGCTTACGGGGGCCTTCATCTCCATCTCTGAAAGAGAGGCCTGGTAACAATGCCCCTCTCCTAGAAGCTTTGTGAAGACCTAAGGATGTGTCTTTGGTTCTTAAGTGTTAAGTGTCGGCTGACGTGACCCCAAGAGCGTGTGTCCAAGTCCCATACTCCCTGGATGATGACTGTCATGCAGGAGGTTCACGGACCTGACCTGGAGAAATATCAGTCTAGGGAGTGTTGGGTGGAAGGTCCTTGGTAAATAATGAAGTGAGGAGCTAATGGTGGGATTTTAGGGTTTTTTTTGTTTGTTTATTTTGTTTTTAGATTTTATTTATTCATTTGAGAGACAGAGTGTTTGAGAGACACAGAGAGAGCATGAGTGGTCAGAGGGGCAGTGGGAAAGGGAGAAGCAGGCTGCCCACTGAGCAGGGAGTCTGAAGCAGGGCTGGATCCCAGGACCCCAAGGTAATGACCTGAGCTGAAGGCAGATGCTTAACCAACTGAGCCACCCAGGCACCCCTAATGGTGGGATTTTAGCCTCCATGGTCCCCTGCTCTTCGTGGTGGGCTCCTAGTGCAACCAACCTGATGCTTCCCTACCTTTTCCCCCCAGGAAGTGCTTTAGGAGGAGAGGTGTATACCTCCAGCTATCTGACTTCTGATTCACAGATAGGAACACTGAAGCCCAGAGCTTGGAACCCAGGCAGGGGTCAAACCCTCCGAGAGGGAAACAGACGCATAAAGGGTGCTGGTTTTGGTCTCAAGGCATTCCACAGGGATGAGAGAGCATGAAGATGTGGCTTGAACTCTGGGTTCTGATCAGCGTAGGGAGGGCCCAGACAACTGATGCAAGAGCCCAGTAACTCAAGGCAGATTAAACACCTCGATTCAAGCCCCAGCTGTGAGTCTATCTTTGTGACCATGGGCTAGTCACTAAACCTCTTGGAACCTCAGTTCATTTTTTTGTGAAATGAGGACAAGCATCTCTAGCTCAGGAAGCTATGAGAGAATGAACTAAGGTAACATGCTCAACGAAGTGTCTAGCTCTAAGAAGACTCTCGATAATCGAGGGCAGTTATTCATAGAATTCAACCAACACTGGGAAGTACTATTATTATCTCCATTTTTCAGATGAGAAAATCGAGGTGCCATGGCATGAAGTGAATGGCACAAGGTCATAGCTAGGAAGTGAGTGAAGCAAGATTGGAAGCCAGGCAGTTTGGCTTCAGAGATGGGACACTTAGCCACAATGCTATACTGATTGTCTGGGCCTCAGGTTCCTTTTCTGTAAAAAAGGAATATATATAACAGAACACTTCTCACAGTGCTGACGTGAAGTTTGAGTTAATACATGTAAAGAGCTTAGGATACTGCCTTTTACCGAGGCAAGTCCTCAGTAAACAGGAACTATCATTTTTATTTAAGGGAAACTTTATCAGTCAGACTGTTCAGAGATGGTCTAGAAAGGAGTTAGTGACTGCCTCATCCAGAGATAGGGAAGAATCCCCTGGAAATTCTAGGGAGAATTCAAGCCACGGGGAAGGTTAGGCCTCATGTCCTTTAACTCACCTTCCAGCCCCAGCACTTAGTGGGACAAGTGACGGGGGGGTGGGAAACAAACTAAAACAAGCTGAGATTGGAACACAGTTGTGTGGGATTGGGGCCAAAAACCATAGGGGAGATGGCAGGAAGAGCTTCCTGGGGGAAGTGGGGCTCAAAGAAAGGCTTGGTGGGCTTTGTAATAGCCAGGAAGGACCTGGGAGCTTGCATGGTGTGATGGAAGTCATGAAAAGTTACTGAGCAGGGGACAAAGTATGACATGGTACCTAATGAAGATTCTGGCTGCCTGTACACATAGCATTTTTTTGTGTCTAGGGGCGGGAGACTGGGGCAGGGCCACTAGGCAGAAAGGTACTGTCTCTAAAGATTCAGCCCGTGCCATTTACCCCAAGGGCTCCTGTGGGTCATAACTTGGAAGCCACCAACCCCTGAGGTATACAGATGAGGAAGCAGGCCTAGAAGGGAGCACTAGACTCAGGCCTCCTGCCCAGACTAGCTTCTGGACACACCTGGCTTCCACCACTGCCTATAGCAGCATCCTTACCCCCCACACTGGCCGCCCCCAGCAGCTGCTGCCCAGTACTCCCTAAGTGGATCTGCCCATAATCCTCTACTTTTCATCCCCTTGGGAGGATGAGCTGGTGTTAAGACTAATGCAGCCATTAATCCTATTTCCTACCAGCCATGATCCCCAGGAGCAGCTGGGTGGAATGAGAAAGAAGGAGCCTTAGCTAGAGCGGGTGCCCCAGGAGGCCAGGCTAAATCAGATATATTGATTATGACTGAGACACATCTAACTGCTAGCAGCTCAAGCTGCCCTGAGGGTAATGAGTTCCCCGTTACCAGAGATATGGGAACAGGAGCCCAACAACGATTCCCAAGCAGAGGGCGGACCAGGATTCCTGTCTGGGGTGGAGTCCCTTGCAGCTGTGCAAAGCCAGAATTCTGTGTGAAAAGTTGCTGCCTCTGACTAACCAGAGGGGAAAGACAAAATACATATGCTGGGGACCTGTCACTTCAGACAGACGGCGCCAGTCGCCAGTTAGCCCACTAGTTCTGCCTTCTTCGGGACCTACCTCTGTCTTCCCTGGGAACATGGCAGCCTTCAGGCCGGGCCCACATCCAGGTAACCTCTGTGTCTGCAGCCCTGCATGGGACCCTGTACCCTGGCACAGGTCTTAGCCACTGAGCTGAAGGAGGATGGGGAGATGGATGGAACCTGGGCCTTCTGGGAATGCTACAGCCTTCGGAGGAGCTCAGAGGCTGGGGGAAAAAGTACAGGTGGACATTTTGATGACGCCAGCCCTCTCTCTTGGCCCCTCAAAGGTTACCTGGTCCAACTTCTTTCATCAATGAACAGACCAGAGAGGAAGCGCCAGTTCAGAGTGTAAGAGCCAGGAATGTTTGGAAGGAGAGATATGACCATCCCTGGTGAGAGAAATGCAGATAAGACAGAGTCCCCCTTTGAGGCCTTAGCAAGGAGAGGCCTTAGAGAACGCCAAAGGGACGTAGCTTGTGTCTTAACTTTGCTTCTTTCCTAGAGAAGCTCCACCCTTTGAAGCCATGGAGGTGGAGTCTGCGGAGGCCCGGTCCCCCGCCCCCGCCCCCGCCCCGGGCTACAAACGCTCTGGCCGCCGCTACAAGTGCCTGTCCTGTACCAAGACATTTCCAAATGCGCCTAGGGCCGCGCGTCACGCTGCCACACATGGTCCTGTAGACTGCGCAGAAGAGGTGGCGGAAGCAAAGCTGAAGCCAGAGACAGAACCCAAGGCAGAGGATGCTGGCGGGGACAAGGTGTCAGGTGCATCGGCCAAGCCTCGGCCTTATGCATGCCCGCTGTGCCCTAAGGCCTACAAAACAGCACCTGAGCTACGCAGTCATGGTCGCAGTCACACTGGCGAAAAGCCCTTCCCTTGCCCCGAGTGTGGCCGCCGCTTCATGCAGCCCGTGTGCCTGCGCGTGCATCTGGCCTCCCATGCCGGAGAGCTGCCCTTCCGCTGTGCTCACTGCCCCAAGGCCTATGGCGCGCTCTCCAAGCTCAAGATTCACCAGCGTGGTCACACGGGCGAGCGGCCCTACGCTTGCACCGACTGCGGCAAGAGCTTCGCCGACCCTTCAGTGTTCCGCAAGCACCGGCGCACGCACGCGGGCCTGCGGCCCTACGGCTGCGAGCGCTGTGGCAAGGCCTACGCGGAGCTCAAGGACCTACGCAACCACGAGCGGTGAGGGCACGGTGCTGGGGGTGATCCCGTCGGGAAAGAGCTGGGGAAGAGCCTACTAGTGGAGTCGAGGTGGGGCAAGGCTGCCCTGTGACCCTTGGGAACAGGGGTAGAGTCTTAAAGAGTGAGGAGAGCCAATGGGAAGGTGAGGGGGCGGGGCTGTGGGGAGAGCAGAGCACCAGGGTGTAGTGGGTACCTTAGTTTGGTGGGGCGGGGTGGACCGCGTGTTGGGCTGGAAAGGGGGCAGGGCTGGAAGTTGTGCCACCCAGAGGATCCCTGGTGGAAGCTGGTAGGTGGGAGTGGAGCCTGGCCTTGGTGTGCAGAGCAAGGTCTTATCTGGGATCTAGACACCCAGCCGAAGGTTTCCCACTCTCGGGTGCAGCCCTGTGGTCACCAGGGACGTTAGGAGCCCCTACTGTACAGTGCAGACAGGCAGCAGGGTCTGGGTGACAGGCCTGCCACCTTCATGCCGAGTCCTCCTTGCTCCACAGGTCCCACACCGGTGAGCGCCCCTTTCTCTGCTCGGAGTGTGGGAAGAGCTTCTCCCGCTCATCCTCGCTCACGTGCCACCAGCGCATCCACGCGGCGCAGAAGCCCTATCGCTGTCCGGCCTGTGGCAAGGGCTTCACGCAGCTCAGCTCCTACCAGAGCCACGAGCGCACTCACTCTGGCGAGAAGCCCTTCCTGTGCCCGCGTTGCGGCCGCATGTTCTCCGACCCCTCGAGCTTCCGGCGCCACCAGCGGGCACATGAGGGCGTGAAGCCTTACCGCTGTGAGAAGTGTGGCAAAGACTTCCGGCAGCCCGCAGACCTGGCCATGCACCGGCGGGTGCACACGGGGGACCGGCCATTCAAGTGCCTGCAGTGTGACAAGACGTTTGTGGCGTCTTGGGACCTCAAGCGCCACGCGTTGGTGCACTCGGGCCAGCGGCCCTTCCGTTGTGAGGAGTGTGGGCGAGCCTTCGCCGAGCGAGCCAGTCTCACTAAGCACAGTCGGGTGCACTCGGGTGAGCGCCCCTTCCACTGTAACGCCTGTGGGAAGTCCTTCGTGGTATCATCCAGCCTGAGGAAGCATGAGCGGACCCATCGAAGTAGCGAAGCCGCAGGGGCGGCCCCACAGCAGGAGCTGGTAGTGGGGCTGGCACTGCCAGTCAGCGTGGCAGGCGAGGGCTCCACTGCCCCCACCGCAGGTGCAGGGCTAGGTGACCCCCCAGCAGGGCTGCTAGGGCTGCCCCCGGAATCAGGTGGTGTGATGGCCACCCAGTGGCAAGTGGTGGGCATGACGGTGGAACATGTGGAGTGCCAAGATGCTGGGGTTGGGGAGGCTCCTGGTCACTTGGGGGGAGCAGGCGAGGTGGGGGGAGAGGAGGTGGACGAGAAGCCACCGCAGTTTGCCTGCCGGGAGTGCAAGGAGACATTCTCCACGCTGACGTTGCTGCGGCGGCACGAGCGCTCACACCCGGAGCTCCGGCCCTTTCCCTGCACCCAGTGCGGCAAGAGCTTCTCTGACCGGGCAGGGCTGCGCAAACACAGCCGCACCCACAGCTCTGTGCGCCCCTACACCTGCCCCCACTGCCCCAAGGCCTTCTTGAGTGCCAGTGACCTGCGCAAGCACGAGCGCACCCACCCTGTGCCCATCGGGACCTCCACGCCCCTGGAGCCCCTTGTGGCTTTGCTAGGAATGCCTGAAGAGGGACCAGCTTGAGGCCCATGCCCCCTCCACCTCACTGCCAGGAGCCCAGACTTTACAGGGTGCCTCCTGAACCTGTCTGCCCCTGCTCTTTAGACTCCAGATTCCTGTCCCCCGGGGCAGCTAGCTTTCCTTGTCAACAAAGAGTTGGGGGACAATGGAGGCAGGCAGCAGCTGTTGAGAGACACGTGTCCTCTGAGCAACACTCATTAAAGCATTCACTTTGACACTGGGTTGTCTTCTGTTTTGGCTGCGGGAAACGGATTGGGAGTTTGGGCATCAGATAAGGTTCAGTGGAGACCCCTGGATTGACAGATTAGAAACCAGAAGTGTCTTTGGCTGGCTTGTTTCCCAATGTATATTTTCAGAATGTCTTGACAAAGGGTTCCCTGGTCAAGGAAGTACAGGATATGCCCTGTGCCCTTCTTGGGGATTTTTGGTGATCAAAAGTGTATTAAAGTCACTGATACAACAATGAACAAATCTATTTATCTTTGTTTAGCCCACTGTTATTTCATCATGGAAACTTTTTACTGGGTAGTTCCATCCTTTTATAGATAATCCACTGAGGTCCAAAATTAGTGTATTTCGTATACTGCAATAACAAACTAGAAAACCCACTTAGGGGAGGAAGGGGTTCCATTCATAGTAACAACAAAACCCATAAACTATGAAGGAATAAGCCTCACAAAAAACATGCAAAACACATACAAAGAAAATGGTATCCCTGTTCTGAAGATTGTAACCCCTAAGTGAAAAGAGACATACCAAGTACCTGAATGGAAAGACATTATTAAAAATGTTGATTCTTCAGGTGCGTAGGTGGCTCAGTTGGTTAAGCAACTGCCTTCAGCTCAGGTCGTGATCCTGGAGTCCCAGGATCAAGTCCCACATCGGGCTCCCAGCTCAACGGGGAGTCTGCTTCTCCTGACCCCCCTTCTCATGCTTTCTCTTGCTCTCTCTCAAATAAATAAATAAAATCTTTAAAAATATAAAATAAAAATGTTGATTATTTCTAGTTTAATCCTTAGATTCACTGTCATCCAAAAAGGTTTTATTTTTATTTTTATTTTTTTAAAGATTTTATTTATTTATTTGACAGAGAGAGACAGAGATCACAAGTAGCAAAGAGGCAGAGAGAGAGGGGGAAGAAGGCTCCCTGCTGAGCAGAGAGCCCGATATGGGGCTGGATCCCAGGATCCTGGGATCATGACCAGAGCCCAAGGCAGACACTTAACCGACTGAGCCACCCAAGCGCCCCCAAAAAGGTTTTTTTGTCGTTTTTTGTATTTATTTATTTCAGAGAGGGCAGGTGTGAGTTGGGAGGAGGCAGAGCAGCAGAGGGGAGAGGATCTCCAGCCAACTTCACACTGACTGTGAAGCCTGACTTGGGACTCGATCCTATGACCCTGAGATTGTGACCTGAGCCTAAATCAAATTGAAGGCTTAACAGACTAAGCCCCCACGCAACCCCCCAAAAGGGGCCTGAAAACCCAAATTTTGAAAACTCAAAATTCTACATAATACATTTTTAAGAACAAATGGAGGTGATGTATTTGACATATTAGATAAACAGCAACACATTGATGTTAAAACAGGTTATTAGCACAAGAATAAATTAGCCAATGGAGTGGGGGCAAAGGTTTAGAAACAGCCCCATTTCTGGGAATTTAGTTTACAATAAACGTGATTATTCTAATCAGTGGGAAAAGATAGGCTGTTAAATTATAGTCATATCCATACTCTGGAAGGCTACACAACTTTTCAAAGAAAAGAAACAAAGCCCCACATTTAGTGTGAATTGGAATAATCTTTTGGGAAGATGATTTGGTCATGGTTATTAAAAAGTTAAGTGCAGGGGCGCCTGGGTGGCCCAGTGGGTTAAGCCTCTGCCTTCAGCTCAGGTCATGATCCCAGAGCCCTAGGATGGAACCCTGCATCGGGCTCTCTGCTCAGCAGGGAGCCTGCTTCTCTCTCTCTCTCTCTCTCTCTCTCTCTCTCTCTTTCTGCCTACTTGTGATCTCTCTCTCTCTCTCTGTCAAAGAAATAAATAAATAAATCTTGGGGCGCCTGGGTGGCTCAGTGGTTAAAATCTCTGCCTTCGTCTCAGGTCATGATCTCAGGGTCCTGGAATTGAGTCCCGCATCGGGCTCTCTGCTCAGCAGGGAGCCTGCCTCCTCCTCCTCTCTCTCTCTCTGCCTGCCTCTCTGCCTACTTGTGATCTGTCTGTCAAATTTTAAAAAATCTTTAAAAAAAAAAAGTAAATCTTAAGAAAAAAAAAAGTTAAGTGCATATACCCCATGGCTGGGCAAGCACATGTCAAAGAATTTACACCACGAATTCTTTATCCATGTCCACACCAAAACTGAAGATAAGAATGTTCAGTGCGGCAAAATCTGCGATAACCAGGAATACCTTAAAAGTCCACTAGCAGGGCTCCTGGGTGGCTCAGTTGGTTAAGCAACTGCCTTCAGCTCAGACCAAACCCACAGAAGTTGTTTTTTGCTTTTTTTTTTAAAGTAAACAAGAGGGAGCCTGGGTGGCTCAGTTGGTTAAGCGACTGCCTTCAGCTCAGGTCATGATCCCAGAGTCCTGGGATTGAGTCCTGCATCAGGCTCCCAACTCCACAAAGGAGTCTGCTTCTCCCTCTGACCTCCTCTCTCATACTCTCTCTCACTGTCTCTCTCAAATAAATAAATAAAATCTTTAAAAAAAAAAAGTCCATTAGCAAAGGACTAATTAAATAAGGCTAGCCACTGTAAAATCTATTATGCAGCTATTTTTTAAAATGACACTTATTAACTCTTGTTGAAAGATCTCCCAAAAATATGTCAAGTGAAAAAAATAAGATACAAAGCAGTATGATTATACTCCCATCTGGGTCTAATCACACATTCGTACTCAAATTCCTATAGAATATTCTTAGAAGGAGGGGCACCTGGGTGGCTCAGTGGGTTAAGCCTCTGCCTTTAGCTCGGGTCATGATTCCAGGGTCCTGGGATCGAGCCCCACATCAGGCTCTCTGCTCAGCAGGAAGCCTGCTTCCTCCTCTCTCTCTCTGCCTGCCTTTCTGCCTACTTGTGATCTCTGTCAAATAAATAAATAAAATCTTAAAAAAAAAAAAAAGAATATTCTTAGAAGGACACTCCAGAACTGATTTTGGATTATTATAAAGTCCAGCCACTAGGGCCCTCCCAATTTATAAGCCAAAATGAAGCCAAAGTTCAGGGAACCAGATCCTCCTTTCCATGCTCTTATTATCTCTAGACTTATTCTTACCAACTCTAGACCAAGCTGGCAGCCTCAGGAAGTGACCAGTGTGCAGTCCCTCTCTAGGCCCACATGCCAGTCAAAGGGGACTTTGGCAGCACCAGTTAGCTTCAGGAACAGAAGTATCAAGTGTCCCCTGATATCATGGACCTCACTTACAGTCATCATGACCAATCCTCAGAAATTAGTTTTAGAAAGGTTCTTATTCCTGCTGACCATCAAGGACAAGGGGGCCACATGGCACCAGCAGGGAACAGGGTGTCGTGGCTGCAGGAGACACCAGTTTGGCCAAGGACACTCACTGCCCAAAGCAGGACAAGCACTGACCCCAGGCTTTCTGACTGTCCAGGCTGGAACCAAATACTGACAGGGTTCAGGAAAGAAACAGACTTGGACTGGGGTATTGGAAACAGGGGGATTTGGGTTACTACCAACTTGCTTTGTGACCTTGCCCAAGATCATTTATGTTGGGAATGACTAGGCATCTTTTTAAAATTGGTACAAAGATACCATATTCCCTAATCGACAGATAACCATGGGTATCTATCTATAGTGAAGGATGAAGTGGGTCCCCTGGATGTTTGGAAGGAATCCATAGCCTCTGCTCCCTTTCTGAGACCCGACAGTGCACCCATCTCTTGGTCCCCCTTCTCTGATACCCCAGGCATCCCATACCCCAGTGCCTGCTCCCTAAGGACTCAGATGGTCTGACTTTTTTTTTTCAAGTATTTTAACAGCTTCATTAAGATATAAATTACATGCTGTACAATTAACCTGTTTAGAGTATCACTGAATTGGGATTTTAGTATATCCACAGGGTTATTGAAATCTAATTTTCATCCTCTTGAAAGCAACTCCATACACATTAGCTGTCACTCCCTATTGGCCCCAACCCCAACTCCTTTCCCTTAGCCCTGGTCAATCACCAATCTACTTTCTATCTTTCTGGAGTTGCCTCTTGTGGACAATTAATGCAAACAGAATCACACCATATGTGCTCTTTGTAACTGGCCTCTTTCACTTCCAACGTTTTCAAGGTCCAGCTATGCTGTCAGTACTCCATTCCTCTTCATTGTCAAATAATATTCCAATGTATGGAGATCAATTTCATTTACTTTTTTGAGAGAGAGGGAGGGAGAGGGGGGAGGGGCAAAAAGAGGGGGAGAGAGAATCTCAAGCAGGCTCCAAGCCCAGTGCATGAGCCCAAAACTGGGCTTGATCTCACAACCCTGAGATATAACCTGAGCCGAAATCAAGAGTGACAACCTACTGAGCCACCCAGGTGCCCCTTGGAAATACATTCTCTTTTCTTTTTTCTTTTTTTAAAGATTTTATTTATTTGACAGACAGAGACAGTGAGAGCAGGAACACAAGCAGAGGGCGTGGGAGAGGGAAAGCCGGCTTCCCAAGGAGCAGGAAGCCTGGTGTGGGGCTTGATCCCGGGACCCTGGGATCATGACCTGAGCCGGAGGCAGACGCTTAACGACTGAGTCACCCAAGCACCCAGAAATACATTTTCTAATCCTTTCATCACTTGATGAACATTTGGGTTTTCCATTGTTTGTCTACTGTGAATAATGCTGCTATGAACGTTCATGTAAAATTTTTTTGTTTAAAGATTTTATTTATTTATTTGAGAGAGAGTGAGAGAGCATGAGAGGGGAGAAGGTCAGAGGAAGAAGCCGACTCCCTGCGGAGCTGGGAGCCCTATGCAGGACTCGATCCCAGGACTCTGGGACCATGACCTGAGCCAAAGGCAGTGGCTTAACCAACTGAGCCACCCAGGCGTCCCATGTAAAAGTTTTTATGTGGACATGTGTTTCTTATTTATTTATTTATCTATCAGAGAGAGCGCCACAAGCAGCAGGAGAAGCAGGCAGAGGGAGAGGCAGGCTCCCCTCTGAGGAGGGAGCAGGATGCGGGACTCGATCTTAGTATCCTGGGATCCTGACTGGAGCTAAAGGCAGATGCTTATCTGACTGAGCCACCCAGGAATCCCTGGACATGTTTTTCAATTCTCTTGTTTGAAGAACTGTCAGAATATTTTCTAAAGTGGCTGGACCATTTTACATTCCCACCAACAGGGTATGACTGTTCCAATTTTTTCATACCTTTACCAACAGCTGCTATTATCTTTTGATTATAGCCATCCTGGTGGGTGTGAATTTGCGGTTGTGATTTGGATTCCCTGGGTGGAAACTGATGTTGAACATCTTGGGGCACCTGGGTGGCTCAGTGGGTTATGCCTCTGCCTTCAGCTCAGGTCATGATCTCAGGGTCCTGGGACCGAGCCCTGTATCAGGCTCTCTGCTCAGTGGGGAGCCTGCTTCCCCCTCTCTCTCTGCCTGCTTCTCTGCCTACTTGAGATCTCTCTCTGTCAAATAAATAAATAAAATCTTAATTAAAAAAAAAAGAAACTGATGTTGAACATCTTTTTTTTGCTTATTGGCCATTTGTACCTCATCTTCGGAAAAATGTCTATTGAAGTTCTTTGCGCATTTTTAAATTAGGCTGTTTGGCTTTTTGCTGTTG